TTAGGCGCCAGATGGCCCAGCTGAGACGTCACACAGCTCGTCAATTCCTTCAACTTTCGATCAGCCTGCCCTTCGACTAGTCTGACCTCTATATTCATCAGCATCTCATATTCTACTGACTGGGTTATTCCCTTGCATTATTTCTATCGAATTCCTATTTATTCTCTATATTGTAGCTCTGGTGAGCTCATAGTATTTGCATTCTTTCTCCACTTGAGATGTTTTCTTCGCATTCTCTTATAGGAATCCGCATTTATTAGCTCTTGGATTTTCGCCCTCACCAGGAAAGGGTGGTTGTACGACAGTCATACGAAATGCCATGCGTGCCAACTGACGCGTCTTCGGACGCTGATTTATATATGGAAGAACCACTAGGAGCACTACTTTCAAAAAGCTGATTGAGGAAGTAAAAAAACAGGAACAACCCGAGTTGGTGTCCGGTGATTCAAATGAAGACGAAGATCCTGCTGATAATTCTAGGGATGAGGAAATGGACCGCCTCATGGAGGTTAAAGCTCACCATGATGACTAGGTAGATCAGCTGCTGGATCTAGAAAAATGAACACCCAATAGGAGCTTTGAACAAAAAGTGCTCACGACGAGCCAGCCGGCAGGTGTGGGGGAGACCACTACCATGACTGCACGGAGAGCAAAAAGGGCGAGGATAGATGGGAACATGCGTAGGACTATGGACTAGGCAAAACATGTCTGGACCCGAATGTGAGAGAGAAGACCGATGCACTCACTTCAAAAAGCCGTGCTACTGATGCGCTCGCCTCGAAGGAACCGCCTTTGCTAACATGATCTGCATTATGGAATATGCATATGCATTATGGACTTCATTTCTAGCTAATCGATGAGTGGTTGAGGTATTGTCTGCACGAAGTCTGCATCACACCGGCAAAAACTGCACGTCGACGTCACAGCAGATCTTGAAGCTCAACCACCATTCACAAGTAAACGCGTGCTTCCGCATTACGAACAAGGCAGAATGCTGCAAGCGGCAGTTCCGATTGGAATGCGAAGGACACTTCAACTCATTTTGCCGACCAAAACTATCACGTATACACGAGCGGCAAAGCAACACGTGCTAAGTTCCAAACGATGCTCCCATATCGGCAGCTGCGTGGACACCAAATGCGCAGGGGTCAACACGACCACCCTGCTCTTCCGGAACTGATGGAAGCCAACCTTTTTCCCGGAGTGACATACTGCGTTGAGAGTTGCGGAGGACCAGGCTGCGGATGCTTCTACCTCAGCAGCGGATGCCTATTCTACCGCGTCTTCATGAAACCTGAGAGCACCGAAATCTTCGAGATATTCAGCTGCTCACGCTGGAGAGAGGAAGTCGTTCTTCACATAACAGTGACAACGGATAAGAAGACCACCGTGAACGAAGCCAGGCATCTCCGACCGACTATATCAGTACAACACCAATCATTGAAAAGTTCCACTCAGTTCGATTACCGTACCACCCTCAGCCAGTGTTGCACACGACTTTTCATAGCCGCCAGGACAAGACGTGCTATGGATGGAAATCAGCTACCGCCACTACAGTGCACTTCGAACAGGGAGGCGGAAGCTATGGCATGTGACGTTCACCCCATCTGCAACTGCCATTTAGGACATACTGGAACAACGCTGCTGTTCATATCCTGGTACAAGTTTGGAATCACGGTCCATGGTATTGCTTGTCTCAGCATAGCCGATTGGCTTTTTTCTCTTGGAAGCTTCGGACTTACGAATGTGCTTCACATAATGTAGCTGTTAGTTGGAATCGACGCTATTACGCGTAGTAATATACGGTGCTTCGTATAAGGCCTACGCGTGCTGTTTCGACGACGTCGCCGAACACGCACCAGAAAGGACTTGTGAACACCAGGAGTCAGAACCCACTCTATGTATATTCCGCACTATATGTCACACTATAAGTTACTCACACATGCACGCTCATCACCTACTTCTGTGTAGCCCTCATACAGGGACTCTTCATCTAATTACTTTTTTTAGAATTACTTCCTTTACAGTTCAGCAGGTTCCCAATGATCAATAGGAAAATGTCGTCACTGGCAAGTCAGCAGCCGAACTAAAGAAGCCACCACCACCTCCAAAACCTTCGTCATCGACAGCAAGTGACAAGTCGTCCACTCCACGTACGACGACTATGACAGAAGCGCCAAGCAAGAAAGTTCATGACGAACGTCAAGAAAACATGGAGAAGGCCTACAATAAGATACTCCAAGCGGATGTCGGGCTTCATTGCTCGCATTTGCACGCAGTACGACAGATCAAAAGAGGTAGCCGGAACTGCGTCAAGAGACACATTGCGGAACACCATATCCCTCTATCTCCGAAGAAATAAAACATGCAGCGACGTTCATCAGAGATCACTACGATGGTCCAAACAACAAGCACGAGAGCCACGAACAAGGATGGAAAAAGCTCCTCGAATGGCAAACGGCTCTCGAGCAGAAAATTGAGGCGCTCCTCAAGCTGAAAACACCGTGTGCACTCACTAAGGTCGAGCTGACGACGACCATGCGGAAAGAGTTCGACACTCTTCGTCAATATCAAGCTCATCTTTTGTTTGAGAGTTCAGCGAATGTGGTCAAGGAGATCTTCGAAACAGTACTTGAAGACCAGCAGACTGCGTAAGACGCTCCAAACCCCCCCCGCGGGCCCAAAATTTTCGAGAACAACAGCAGATTGAGTAGTCTTCTCAAGTGGTCAGACCCGCGTGGCATACTTATCTATTCGAAGTAAGTGCGAGCAGCTATCTTCTGTAGAAGACTTATCCTCAAATTGGTGCATCGACCTCTCAGCAACTACAGAGGCGAAAACAGGTCAGAAGAGTTAAACCTTTGCAAAGTGCTAAAAATTTGAGGCATTTTCGATAGTCACTTCATTCAAGTTGCCTCCATTGCACTTTGCCCTTTCCAGTTTCCATTGCATTTCATCTGCATTTTGCAACAAAAAACTCTAGCCGCCAGAAAACTTCCATCTACTTGATCTCCTCATATTTGGAATCAGCGGCAGAAAACGCTTCCAGAATGTATACTAACATCCTTGATGATGTGAGTTCCTGAACGGCATGGCCACATACTCTACCAGAGCCAAGATACTCAGAGCATTAAGAGGAACCCGGGATGAGTTCGAAGATAACATCAGCAAGACGAAGGCTCTGGAAAGAGAGTGGCAAGACATGAAGTCGGATCCTAACACCACAAGAGCAGTGGCGGGGACAAAGTTCATGAAATTGACAAAGTTCATGAAACTATCTTCAATACGTGCCGAGGCTATAACAACTCAAATCTGAATACCGGTGGGCGAGGCTGTCTTGGAAACAGATTTGTCCTGACGGAGATCCTTCTCAGAGATCGTGTAAGGGGAAGGATCACCAGCATCTCCACGAGGAAATTCTGGATATCATCTCCAGGATTCGGAAGTACGGCAGCAAAATAACTTCCATAATCGACCAGATGGAAAGGGAGTTAGATCAAGCCGGAACAGATCTGCAGAAAGGACCGTGCGTAGCCGACATCGACCAAATAACGGCATTATTCAAGGAGACATTTGGTACACTCCAGAAGACGGTCGAACAGCACACTGCGGACTTGGCCCTCCTCGAAGTTAAGGCGGGTCAAGAACCCAATCCTAAAGTAGAGTCTCAAGGCGATTCCTCTCAGATGACCAGTATTTTGAGAAGATGTTAGCCGAAGTGAAAACACCTCAGCAACCACCTGAACTGGTATCTGACGTTTCCGACGAAGACGAAGACACGGCTAATACTCCAAGAGACGAAGAACTGGAGCGTCTCCAAGAGAAGAAAGCTATTCAGGAGAAACATGTAGAGGAATTGCACAATCTCGTGAAAAGGTTCCCCTACAGGAATTTCGATCCAGGGCAAACCAGCAAACAAACAACCATGCGTGTTCTGTAAGGGAGACCATTATTATGACTCCTGTACAACGCTAAAAGAAGGCTACGAGAGATGGGAATATGCATGGGATTCCATCTCTCATCTTTGAGCTCCACATATCTCTTTTTATGATTTCTTACACATATCATTGCTTTGCTAGTTTAATTACCCAAGTTTGAGAATAAACGGCTTGTGCTTGCTGGTGTGTGGTGTCCGGTTTTGGTCGAGGCCTATCGTATCGTTTTCTCGCGTGGCAGTACTGTAGTACTTTTGGTTCGCGGCTATACTAGTATACGTCGTGCAAGTAAATTTATGAGATAAACCCGTGGCGCCTGTTGACGACAATTTCGTCCTCCAAATAAGAGAGCTGATCGATGAGCGATTGAGGCAAAGTTAGCAAGAAGGCGTTGGAAGTCGGACAAAAAGGAGACAGTATATAAGCACCAGATGGCCCAGCTGAGATGTCAGGCGGCTCTTCACGTCTTCAAGAGACTTCCTCCGACTCGATGGCCTTCCTTTCTTCCCGCTGTGCTTTCAGTTCCTTTCCTTCTTCATCTGGTAAGGCTGCTTACTTCTCTCTCATTATCTCTATCTCACCATTATTCCTAGGCTATAGTTGCGGTTTCAACCCTTTTTACATTCAACAGCTTTTCCTTTGATAAACATGTTATCGTAGCTATTTGAACGGTGATGATTCTCTTGTGCCTTCTTCAATTGTGCCTCCTCGCTCTCAGATGACTCTTATTATTGCATATTCATTCCTTTATTCATAGCCTCTTAATTCAGTTCTCATATCGCTTGTAATGTTTACAATTGATGTATATACTTACTAGTTACTTTAGTATATTAGATAAACTTGACCAAGTTTGAGGCTGTCTTCTCAAGTGGTCTATCCCGCGTGGCATTTTTACCTTAAAAGAAAGTGCCAGCAGTCATCTTGGTAGAAGTCAACTTCCTCACCTATCTTGGTGTGCTCATCAACACAATGTCCCAACAACGGGACCACTGACTGCAAGCAGTTATTATACGAACTATACAAAGGATGTCTGGATAGAGACTGTTAGGGAAGACCGGTGCTTTTGTTCCAAGAAACCATGGGGTTCCAAGGAACTCATTTTGCCAGCGTGGTTTTTCGTATAGACCACTCCGCCCCATGCAATATCCCAGATCGCTAGAGAGATGCAGTGGAAAGGCACGAAGAAAGCCCAAGACGAGCTGAAGAAAGTCAACCATTCAAGAAGAGACCAATAGCGGCGGCGGAGTGAAGACAATATCGTCCTCTAGGTGAGAGAGGTTGCATTACGAACGAAATGATATCATTCAGTTATTATTACTGATTTGTGTATGATTCATTGTAGCTTCATTTATAGCCAATTGAGGCAATGTTTACAAAGTGGAAAGTGTTGGACAAAAAGAAGGTGATACTCAGGCGCCATATGGCTGTGCTGAGATGTCATTCGGCTCGTCACGTCTTCAGTACAGTCTTCCGACCTTCCTTTCGACTAGACGGTACTCATTACTCTCTGCTCTTAATTCGCACCTTCGCTTCCATTTGCTGGGGTTCAATATCCTTCTAATATTCAGGCTCCCCATCAATCATAGAATGAAGTGATTTCTATTGTGATTCTCTTTATTTGCAATATTAATCAAAATACTATCAATCATTAATATTTATATATTGCTAATTTACAACATATTATTATCTGCATGAATGTTATTCTTATTACTTCTTATGTTGAGCCTTGATAAACTCAATGCTGTGCCCTTTTTATGTGTGCATCATCGCTCTCACTCTGCTTATTCATTGCATTTCATAGCCTACACATTTCAGTTCCCATATCGCTAACAACTGATGTGTATATGATTACTAGTAGTAGACCTGGGTATGTTTGGATAAAGTAGAGTACCCAAGTCCAAGGTTATCCATTCAGTGGTCAATCTCGCGGCATTATTATTTAGTGGAAGAAATTGCAAGCAGCTAACATTTGTAGAAAAAAATTTACCTTTGTTTTCTCTGTAATACTTTCCGTTGACACCTATGGTTGCCGCGCCTTAAACTCGTGTCTTGATGAGGACAAGGGTACTTAAGCGCGGCCGAGTACCACACCTTCACAAACACATGAGAGCCGATGCAGCTACCTTGTTATTGCAAAACCGCGAACTAGGGAGCATAGCATGCAGCATAGCTCCTCGGCACTTCGAAGAGGCTGCCCGTCGACGCGACTGCTCTTTATATCCAGGTGCAGCTCAAGTTCCCCTAACCACATCCTCCCCTTGCCTTATTCCTTGGTTCGTTTGCTATTTATTCCGTATGTTGTCATTCTAGTTCCAACTAAATCAGTTTATTACAGTTGTCATTTGTGAGTCCTTGCAATATGCATTCTTTCACCACTCAGGATATCTCTTCAATTCTCCCATAGACTTTCGCAGCACTTAACTCATGACTGTCACTCAGCTCGATCCAAACTTGCCTTCCGAACATTCCTCCTATTGATCGCTGGTTAAATGCTTCTCACTGTAACCCTTCCATCACTCAACTTCGTACTAAAGTTGCGGAAAAAAACTTGGAACAAGTCGAAAAAAATTGGAATTTTCTACCAAACTACCACCTGAATTTCCCTGGGTTGTGTACCAACATATTATAAATATAGGTAAAGTATGCCTGGAAGACTGTTTTCAAACAGTAAAAACGACCCTGAAGCAAACACAGAAGTACGTGAAATCTAGGTTCCGGCACCCAAGGTCAGCATCCCGATAATGACCGAGCGAAAGCCTTCAGCTCAGCCCCATCAGGCATGTTTGAGAAGACTTGAAGCATGAGTCGAAGGAAAGAGAACCACTAGCG